GGACTTGACACAGGTCTTTCCAACTCGAGCTTTCCCTTGAACAATGGATGTGCGGACATATGATACTCAATGGATCTGTATTTCATTGCAATATGAAGATTTTGGACATCTAATAACAAAAAAATTAATAAATTTTATCATTAAAGACAAATTATTTCGTACAAAAATAACTGTAGAGTTTATAGTTATCAATATCATAAGAATTAATAGCTAACCTCTTGTATTACACAGTATTGGCATAAAACAAAGTTTACATCTTGCTGACTCAGTATACACAGATTGGTTCATATCAGCAAACAACACTTCATCTTCATTCCATTGCCAGCAGTCATTGCATAACCATATCTTAGGCCGATGATGACTTAGTGACTGATGTGGCTCTAACTTGTGATGAACTAGGAAATCATTGATGCACGACCATTTTTCAAAGTCTTGGCAACCAATAAAAAAAGAGCGATCTGTTCATTTCATCTGTTAACATTTCTATAGCAGATATAGTAAACCTCTGGATTGTGCCGAGTTTACGTGAGATCTTTTCAAAATGACTATCAGAAGAGATCTCTCCAAGTGGTGTAGTGATATTTGAATTTATGGAAAATATCACTGAACGAAGGCGAGTTTTAAGCAGCCCGGTAATATTAATTATGTACTGTGTTAATAATTCAGTTTGGTTTTGCTTGTAGAAAAAAAACATGTACCATTTTGTATGCTCAATTGGCAGTAGGAAGATCTTGAGGAAGATTAGAATCAAAACGATACACTCAACAACTTAGCAGTATCTGTACTGATAGAAAGACCAGTGCTTAATGTAACTTGACAGTACCTCTTCAACACTTGTGAATTCTTTTTCTTAACAGCATCAATAACATCATCATTTTGATTTGATAATCTACTAAAGAAATAGTGGAGTTTGGAGTTTATGGAACAAATGAACAAGAAGAGTGTTTGGATGCTGGTGAAAGTGTCATCTTTGAGTCCTTTATTGGCCTGAAGCTCTTTCTCTAATATGACCTGAAATCGATTGGCTCTAGGGTGAGGTGAGGTTTTTCCATATTCAGCCTGGAGATCTTTGTGGTCCCTAATGTGTAAACTCATAACTCTCTTTGACCTTGTGTAAACTCAGTAGATTATAATCTAGCCCATCCCACAGGCTTGAGAGACTATCCCACTAACATTTTATATTGACCGAGATATTGACATTTATAAAGGCCTAAGATGGAGGAGCCTATTGGATCTTGGGTTTTCCCGAGGCTTTCCCTCACATTAGCCTCAAAGGAGATGGTTTATTTTTCAAAATGGATCTATAGGCATAGGAACAGGCTCAGAAAAGACAAATCTTTTCAAAGGTTGCTTCAAGTGAGAAGAGTACATCTTCAGCAATCAAGAAATCTTCTAATTTTTAGATAGAGAGGCTAATAAAGAGATATTTAAAAATAAATATTACGAACTTAGCTAAACAAGCACTCAAAGAAACAAAGTAAAATGCATCATAATGTTTGACGTGTTGTTATTACATTGTATATCTAGTTCATCAGGCAGGGTCGTCTCCTCAACTCAA